AAAGCCTGATGATCGTATGTTTTGGTCTGGGCCACCTCCCTTCTTCCTGCTCTGTCCTCTGTGGTCACTGTGGAATGCTAAGCAGGAAGGAGAAAGGAGCCCCCTTCTACTTTTATTTTATTTTTTTTTCTTTTTGCATTTTTGAGACAGGGTTTCTCCTCCATAGCTTTTGGTTCCTCTCCTGGAACTAGCTCTTGTAGATCAGTCTGGCCTCGAACTCACAGAGATCCGCCTGCCTCTGCCTCCCGAGTGCTGGGATTAAAGGTGTGCGCCACCACCACTTGGCCCCCTTCTACTTTTAATCTAGGCTCCATCCCCAAAGACTTCAATGTCTTTGGCCTGTAGTGTTTAAGGACTTGGGATATTTGAGCTGGTTATCCCGAGATGGCCTGACAGGGCAGCGGAAGGTGAAGAAGTTTCTAGGCGGAGCAGCTAATCCCGTTGTGGCTAGGCCTGTGGCAGGTTGACAACCAGGTCAGACTGCTAACCAGCAGTCTCCACACATGTAATAATACCAGTGTCTGTGACACTAAGGAATACTTTGCTATTCTGTTTTCAAGCCTTGTCTCTTGTAAAATAAACTCCACCTTTCTCCTTTCATTCGTGACTGGGAATTAAACTCGGAGCCTTGTCCACACTGGGCAAGCACTTACCACTGAGCTACACTCCTCATCCTGTTTTTTGTTGTTGTTGTTTTTTTAAAAAAAACAGTAATTTCAAATGGACTCCCTATACTAAATTCTGATTATTTAAAATCAATATCTGTTTAAGGAAAAATGATACTTTTCAAGATGTTGCTTCATGAGCTACTTCACTGAATGTTGATAAATTCATGAGCAAGCAAAAAATGCTTTCTGAAGGATGCATCCCATTCCAGGCAGTGCCCTGTGTGCCATGGCAGCTCGGAGCCCACTTAGCAAATCATCCCATCTGCCCCCTTGTTCTGTTCATGAAATAATGGGGTGCGACTGAAGGAAAGTGTTCCTTCCAGCTGGCTTCTCCTACCAACATACAATGTGCCGGGATAGTTAGCTAGTGCAAGCACACTGTGCCGGAGTAGTTAGCTAGTGCAAGCACACTGTGTCAGGATAGTTAGCTAGTGCAAGCACACTGTGCCGGGGTAGTTAGCTAGTGCAAGCACACTGTGCTGGGCTAGTTAGTTAGTGCACTGCACAGTGTGCTGGGGTAGTTAGCTAGTGCAAGCACACTGTGCTGGGGTAGTTAGCTAGTGCACTACACAGTGTGCCGGGGTAGTTAGCTAGTGCACAGCCCAGTGTGCCGGGATAGTTAGCTAGTGCACTGCACAGTGATCCGGGATAGTGAGCTAGAGCACCACACTGTGTGTCAGGGTAGTTAGCTAGTGCACGGCACTGTGTGGTGAGATAGTTAGCTAGTGCACTACACAGTGTGTCAGGGATAGTTAGCTAGTGCACAGCACAGTGATCAGGGATAGTTAGCTAGTGCACTGCACAATGTGCTGGGGTAGTTAGCTAGTGCACTGCACAGTGTGCTGGGGTAGTTAGCTAGTGCACTGCACAGTGTGCTGGGATAGTTAGCTAGTGCACTGCACAGTGTGCTGGGATAGTTAGCTAGCAGACTGCACAGTGTGCCGGGATAGTTAGCTAGTGCACTGCACAGTGTTCAGGGATAGTTAGCTAGAGCACCACACTGTGTGTCAGGGTAGTTAGCTAGTGCACGGCACTGTGTGGTGAGATAGTTAGCTAGTGCACTACACAGTGTGTCAGGGATAGTTAGCTAGTGCACAGCACAGTGATCAGGGATAGTTAGCTAGTGCACTGCACAGTGTGCTGGGGTAGTTAGCTAGTGCACTGCACAGTGTGCTGGGATAGTTAGCTAGTGCACAGCACACTGTGCTGGGATAGTTAGCTAGCAGACTGCACAGTGTGCCGGGATAGTTAGCTAGTGCACTGCACAGTGTTCAGGGATAGTTAGCTAGTGCACAGCACACTGTGCTGGGATAGTTAGCAAGTAGACTGAAGCTCTAAGCACTGGTTTCCAGCCTCACCTCACATGTGAGCAACCAGTGAAGACTGAAAGAGAAAAAAAGAACCACCCCACCAGAGCCAGAGAGATGGCTCAGAGGCTAGGAATGTGTACTGCTATTGCAGAGGACCCAAGCTCAACTCCTAGCACCCATCTTGGGTGCCTGATAATTACCAGCCATTCTAGCTTCAGGGGAATCCAGTACCTATGGCCTTCGTGGGCATCTGAACGCAGGTGCACATACCCTACACAGCCACACACATATACATGCTATTTTTAACAATCTAGGACTGGAGAGATGGCTTAGAGGATAAGAGCACCAGCTACTCTTCCGAAGGACTCAGGTTCAATTCCCAGCACACACATGAAGGCTCACAGCTGTTTGTAACTCTGGGTCTAAGGGATCTGATTCTCTTTTCTGGTTCTCCAGGTCACTGTGTGTATGTGATATACAGGTAGACTTGCAGGCAAACGTTCACAAACATAAAATAAAAATCTATAACAAAAAAGACCCCATTAAACCTGAGGCTGGGTGGATGAAGTACTTGCTGCATATGTGTGAGAAGCCCAATCTGCAGGTCCAGGGTAAAAACCGCACAAAAGCCAGGTGGGTAGGCATGGTAACCGACCTGTAACCTCAGCCCTCACCCAGGAGGCAGACAGGGATCCTCAGGGAGAGCTTTCTAATTAGCCCGCGGGTGAGCTGTCAGTTCAGGGGAGACTTTACTTCAGTATATAAAATGGAGAATGGGTGAAAGAGACTCTTTCATACACAGCACCCCCAGCTCACACAAATAAAACCCTAAATCATGTGGGCAATGTGGATGATCTGTTGTTGATATCCTGAGGGAAGCGCAGTATTTTGCATATGTGAAGTGGAGTCTCTTTGCTGATAGAACTACTTAATTAAATATTTCACACAGCAGTGTTTCCATACTTGGTACAATTGCTCTTCCTTGGGAGAGATTGCCTGTCAGTAGGCATCACTATGCTAGGGAAATCCCACGATGCCTTTCTGCTTTTCATCTGTTCAGTTACTGACCTCTCACTGGCCTTCAACACACAAGCCAACTTTCTCGTCTGCGTGTTCTCACCCACCCACCCATCCCCGCTTCCGTTCTATTCTCTAGGATTGCTGGGATTGCACACCGATGGGTGAACACAGGGATGTTTTTCTAGGCACCAAACTACAAGCTCCTTTTCTGTCTCAAAGACCCAGCCAACACTTTCTGCATTGCTACTCCCCTCAAAACTGTTGCTTTATCCCACTCCATCTGAAATCGAGGGAGGTGGGACTTCAGCACCTTCCCTTGCCAACGTGATGGAGCCTTGCAGACTTGAGAAGCCATTCTGCTCTATGATGCATGCATCTAAGCTTAAACCTTCTTCCTGAAGGATCCGCTGTCCCAGGGATGCTAGGAGATTCGCCTTGGCTCTTGACACTGTATATGATGATCTCTGACTTATCCAACAGGGCTCCTGGATGCCTGCCGTGGCAATCTACTTAGAACATGAACTTATGAGGAGCAGTCCTACCAACTTTGCTCAGCACGTGGCTAACACAACGCTACGTGCAGGCAGATCATGTAAAGATTTTGAAAGTGCCCTGTCCTGGTTGGTGGTGTTATTAGTCAGGTTGATACAAGTTAACATCATTTGGGAAAAGGGAACCTCAGTGGAGAAAATGGCCCCATAAGACTGGCTTGTGAGCAAACCCAGCTCACTGTGGGTGGGGCCACCCCAGGCATGTGGTTCTGGAGAGTGTAAGAAAGTAGACTGAGCAAGTCGTGGGGAGCAAGCCAGTAAGCAGAGTCCCTCCATGGCCTCTGCTTTGGTTCCTACCTGAAGTTGCTGCTCTTAGTGGTGGAGTATGACCTGAGAATTGTGGGCTGAAATAAACCCTTTCCTCCCCAGGCTGCTTTAGGTCATGGTGTTAGAATACATAAATAGAAACTCTAAGACATAACCCAAAACAATCCTGTACATCCTTACCAATTCACTCACCACCTTCGGCAGTTCGAGGGTTTAGTTTCATTGGTTTGAAAATCACACACACTGAGTTTTCCAATCAGGCATGGGTGCTTGCTCTATTTACAACCTGAGAAAGGGGATGAGGTAGGACTTATACTCACTGACTTCCTACTCTGCAGCTGTCTGGGGTGGCGGGAGCGAGTCTCTGCTGGATGAGAGACAGGAAGGAAGTGTTTCTGAGCTAGCAATATGGTTCTGTGCTTTTTTCCACCCAGAGCCTGATTTGGTTTTAGCAGCTGGTTGTTTCCTCTTCTGCCCCTCACTGGGGTGTGAGGTAAGCAAGGGTAGGCAGAGAAAGAGAGAAGAAAGAGAAAGGAAGGTCTGGGAGGGATGAGCCTCCTTTTCCAGGCTGGTGTGCAGGGCTGTTCTCCTTTGTGCAGCTGGGTTCCCTCAGGACAGAGGCAGCAGTAGCATCTCTTCAGCTTCCTTGGTGTGTTCTCAAAGCAAAAGTTCTTCTTCTCTGTATGCATGCCCCAGGCAAGTGTAAAAAACCAAAAAAAAAAAAAAAATTAAAGCACTTCACCTACGACTAGGTGTCCTTGCACTTCCCTCAGCTAAAGGGGGGTGGGCAACAGACGTTCATACAGAACCTGCCTGTGAAGAAGTCAGCATTTCAAATTTTTATTTTCTTTCTTCTCTTGAGGAAGGGTCTCCTGTATCCCAGGCTAGCCTTGAACTCAAAGGTATCCTCTTGCCTCCATCGGGAGGAAGCTGTAGTTAAAGAAGACCTAACTTCTCCGTTTGACCAATCACCAGTCTCTGGAATTTCTCCTCCCTCTTCCAGGCACCCTCCCACATCTCTTCCATTTCCAGCTGACGCCTGGATGTGAATGACAGTTGTCTGTTCATTGGTTTATCTTACAATTCAGGAACTCAAGTTTTGAAATACGGACACCCAATCACTTAACTGCTAACCTCCACCCCCACCTTGAGACTCGACCGTGGTACAAGGACTTTTTATTTAACAAACAGATGAGAAATGTAAAAATTTGACGGTTGATGTTTTATTTTGTGTTTTCGGTACAGTTTGTTGGGGGTGGGGGGAGGCGACGAAGTTAGAGGTCCAATAAAATGCCAGTTAAATTCGGCTACTGTCAACAACCCAAAACTTCCAACATAAAAATCAAAGCAAGCTGGTGAAGATTATGAGATAATCTTGGGCACTTTCCTAACACTAAACACAAACCAAGACGCGGCCGCCACTCGTGCACGCGTCCACGGAGTTCTTCAGCTGCAAAGTCGCGGTTAAAGACCAGCACGCTGCCGCTAAAGGGCTAGCGCCTTCCCGCCTGCGGCGCAGCTGGGTTTGTCCAGCCAGACGCTGGCGGTTTGGAATCCTCGCCCACCTCCACATACTGTAATGAGAACGTTAATTACCGAGTTTCACAAGCCTGCTCTACGAAAAGCTTTGTTACCTATTTTAGTAAGTCCGGGACACAGATGCGTGGAAGGTGATTGGTGTTTTGTTTTCAAGCAAGCTCGAATGTTGGTTAAACTACCTTTGGGGGAAAAAAGAAACTAAGTAGATTTCCAGGATTTAAGGAGTGGATACTCTGCAGCAAAACAGCTCATGCTCGAGCCTGAAAAACTGAACTGTGAGGCCAGGCGAACTTCCCCACTCCGCACACCCAGCGACCATGGCGCTCCCGCCGCCCGCGGGCACCTACACTACACCCTAGGAAACTCAGGGCCGTCCAGGGCAGTTCATTCTCAACACCCTTGCTATTTGCACCCTTGGCCTGGGCTCTCTAGCCCTCCTAGGTCCGCATGGGTTTGGTTGGTGGGAGCAAGTGAGCCTGTGCGCTCAGGTCTGGGACAAGGAAAGAAAGCCCCTCTGGATCAACGCTGTTGGGGAGCAGTCCCTAGGCCTGGGAACTGGCGGGTCCCAGGACACCGAGGTCGTGGGCATCCTTTCTCTGCACCAAGGGCAACCCGACTGTGCCGCACCGCTGACTACCATCCTCCCTGCCACGCGAGACCAGAGCTACAGGGAGATACGCGGATTACCCCTGTCACTGAGTGAATTTAAGGTAAGGATGTGATGGCTTCTGTCTCTAAAGAGGTGGAATACTTCTAGAACCCCAAGCAACTGCGTCGCTCCTTGGAACACCAACACTCACTGGGTCACTTTAATTTCCGGGGAATGGGGCCAGGGAGGAAGGCGCCCTACAGTCTGTCGTCTAGGCGAGAAGTCTGGAAATGTCCTTCTTATTGGGGCCAACTCTCCTTAGATCCAGGACGCGGGAGCGCGGGAAGATTGGCTGAGGTCGCGCCCCGCCCCGGACCCAGCCAGCCCTCACTTGGAGAACTGAGCTTGCACCGCTGCCAGGCCCAGGCCAGTGGGGACCAGATGCGGGAATTTGCACACCGCACACGAGCAGAGGCCCGGGCCACCTGCGCCACCAGCGGGTAGAGCGAACTGGCCGCACGGTTGCTCGTCGAGCGCTAGTGACAGGTACTTGGTGGGGCGCAGTGTTTCGGGGGGCCCTACAGCGCCGGGTGCTAGCAGCACAGAGCCGGGCGCAGCGGCCAGCAAGGGCAGGCCGGCCAGAAGTAGGCGCGGGGCTGCGGGCCCCGCACCCTCGCCGAGCGCGCGGCGCAGCTCCTGCAGGGAGCTTCCCAGCAGCAGGATGTAGTTGCGGGCAAGCAGCAGCGTAGCGATCTTGGAGAGCTTGCGGCCGGGTGCTCCCTGGCAGTGAGCCGCCGAGTAGGGCAGGATGACTTCGCGCAGTGCATCCATGGCCAAGTTCAGATCCTGCATGCGCTTCCGCTCGCGGCTGTTGATCTTGCGCCGCAGCTGCTGCTGCTGCTGTTCCTCTTTGGCGTCGGCCCGGGCACCCCGGGACTCCGGCGCCCTTCCGAACAGCGGCTCGGAGAGCGGTGCTTCTGGCTTCTCGCGCGCAGCCTTGGGGAGGAGGGCCGCAGTGGAAGAGGAAGAGGGTGTAGAGGAGGTGGACGACGAAATGGGTGGCTGTCTGTAACCCACCAGCTCGTAGAGCGAAGTCCCAAGCTGCACGTCTCCCGGCCGCTGTGGCCGCAGCATGGTCGCGGGAGCGGCGTTCACGCGCGCCTGAGAAATCGCATAGTACATCTGGGGTGGGGGGCGGTGGGGGCGACCGAGGGCGCCCTTCACTAACGCCCGGGGGTGGGCCGGCCGGCAAATCGCCCTCCCCGCGGACCTGCGCAAGGGCGGACGATGGAGAGGCGCACTCCGCGCCTGACACCTTTAAACCCGGCTTGGGAACCTGAGAGGATCGCGGCTGGTGGGGTGCAGCCAATGGAGGAGCAAGGCTGGCCACAGGCGAGCTTTCATTGGCTGCCTGTGTCGAGGTGCAGCCAGAGTCCCTGGGGATGGTTATCTTGGGCGCCTGCGCGGGTTTCATAGTACCCGCCCCGGTAGGGAAAGAGGGGAGCGTTAGAGTAAAACACCCTCCTTTCTTGCATAGTTCTAGTTCCTCTGGCCTGGTTAAAATGGCTATTGACTCTCTCCCTCTTCTCTCTAGCTCGAATACACCTTTACACGCGTCCTTATAAAATGTGGTCCGCCTGCTATCCCAGCATTTGGGACTGCTTCAGCTGGCACGAAGGAGACCAGCATGCGGTCATATAGCAAGTTCCAGGCCAGTCTGGGTTACAAAGTGTAAAAGAAATGTAGTCAAATACTCGTAATATAGCGTATGCTATGCCTAAGCGCACGTTCTGTCGTGTTAAGGCCTGTCCATTCACATGGTTTGCAACCGATCTCCAGGACCTGTTTGCTTCTGGCAAACTTAAACCATCCAATAGACGCACGTGCGCGCGCACACACACACACACCCCTTCTGTATAACTCTTTATAACCATTAAAAAGAAAACCTTCCCTGCTTTTGCTCATTTGCTTTCTGTTTGCTGTGATAAAGATCACAGCCACAGCAGCCTGGGGAGGGAGACGTTCATTTTCCTTTCTCTTGCCAGTCATAGCTCCTCACTGAGGGAAGACAGGACAAGAACTCAAGCAGGCACACAGGCAAGAACCAGGAAGAGCCCACTGAGGAAAACTGCCTTCCTGACTTGCTTCCCAGGCTGCTACCTTTCTTTATCTAGCACAGGACTGCATGCCCAAGAATAGTGCTGCTCACAGTGGGCGACATCAATTAGCAACGAAGAAAACGCCTCTGTGAGGTGCCCACCAGGCTGATCTGATAGAGACAATTTCCTCATTTGAAGTTCCCTCTTCCAGGGTATGTCAAGCTGACAACCAGGACGAGCCACCACTTCTCCACCTTAGTAATCCCCACCCCGGTTGGGTCTGTATGATTGTTTTGCTCAGAGCGTCCTGTATAGGCTGTATGTGTATGATCAGAGTGTCCCATCTAAGCTGCATCCAAAAGTACTTGTCTTTAGTGACTGACTCATTTTGGTGACTTAGCATGTGTTCAAGCTTTATCCATGTTGGATAGAGTATGTATCTAAATTCTTATCCTTACACATTTTTTTTGAGACAGAGTCTCTTGTATTCCAGGTTGACCTCCAATTCAATATTTATGAGAAGACAACCTTGAGCTTGTGATCCTCCTGTCTCCCCATTTCCCAGGTGCTGGGATTAGAAGCAATCACTAGGATACCCAGTGTGTGCACTGGTTGGGATCTGGAACCAGGGTTTTGTGCATAGTGGACAAGCTTTCTACCAACAGACTGTACCCACAGCCTGATTTCTTCTTCATGAAAGCCAAACAGCACCCTACACAGCCCAGTAATAGATTATATTTCCTGCAATCATTGTGCCTTTCATTTATCTAGGAGTTCACAGAGGTTGCCTTCAACCTTATTGTTATTATTATTATTATTATTATTACTCCCATGAAATGGATATATTCTGGTTGTGTTTTTTAACTATGACATTTTCCATCAGGTTCGGAGAAAGCAAAGTCTGGCTAGCTGACCGTGGCAATAGGATGGGTTCTCTCACTCTCGCCCCAGCTCTCTGGTCCAGAGATCTATAGGGATGGCAGAGTCTTAGGGCTTAGATTTGTCTCTTCCTCCCCCAGAGGATGTGAGGTCATTTTATCAGTGACTTGACTCTTGCTTAAGCAAAACCTGCTCTGGCTCTTATCAGAAAGCAACACCCTACATTCCTATCTGTTAAGGGTGGAACCAAAGCTTTCTCTTCCCCAAGTTCAGTAGGATTACTCAGTGAAGACTTTCATCTCTGAACATAAGCAGGGCATACATCTGCATCTTGTCGAGAGTCAAGGAATGTCCCTAGGAGGAGCAATTTGGTACCTAAACTTCTACAGTTCTCAACTTCCTTAATGCTGTGACGCTCTAATACAATTCAACATGGTGTGGTGAACCCCAGCTATAAGATTGTTTTTGTCGTGAATTCATAACTGTAATCTTGATGCTGTTATGAATCTTAATGTAAATATTTGTGTTTGTGATGGTCTTAGATGAGCCCTGTGAAAGGGTTGTTTGGCCCTCGAAGGGGTGGTGACCCACAGGTTGAGAACTGCTAATGTGAGCCAAGGGGCTCTGCCTTGAACTGGTGCTTGCTATGGGTACCCATTGCTGTGCTTGCTCATTTCAAGACTGTTGTGTGTCTTGTTCTTCTACCAGTGTTCATCCCAGCTTCCAACCTCAGACTGAACTTGTAGCATCCTGTACCAGGGCAGCGTCACACGGCTTTCTTCTTTGCCGGATAGTTCCCATCTGCCCTCTTTCATCATGCTTGACCAACCATTGACAGAGTCTCTCTAGCCTCGATTGTCTTGTGTGGGTACCATCTTGTCCGGTTGGGATGGTTTTCAGAGCAGGGGGTCACCCTGTTTGTTTCTGCATCTGATGGTTTCAAGATCTCCACCGGCTCACAATAATCAGCTCCTCCTTCAAATGCGCAAATGCCCAGTAAAGGAGGCTTGCAGAGAGGAGGAAGCTGGTAGTGTCCCTCACTCCAGAAGGGCCTTGTCAGACATGGTGAGAGGAGGCCACTTGGGGAGAGAAGAGGAGGATCTAAGAAAACAGGTTCAAAAACAAATCCTACCAGACAGGAAGCAAAACAAAGAGACTCCAAGGAAACAAACAGCAAGAGACCTCAGCACCTCACTAATCACATCGCCCTTAGGCAGAGCTGTTGTTGGTTGCTTTTACTCTTTTGGGGGGCCCACTACCCAGCTCCCAGATAAATACACATGGAGGTGCATTCTTACTTTTGAATGCCCTGCCTTAGCTTGGCTTATTTCTAGCCAGCTTTTCTTAAGTTATCCCGACTACCTTTTGCCTCTGGGCTTTTATCTTTCTCTGTTCTATATACCTTTATTTACTACTTACTCCATGGCTGGATGTGTATCTGGGTGGCTGGGCCCTGATCCTCCTCTCCTCCTTTTCTCGCTCTTAGATCTTCTCTTCCCAGTTTTCTCCTATTTATTCTCTCTGCCTGATAGCCCTGCTTGTCCTTTCTCCTGCCTTGCTCTTGGCCATTCAGCTCTTTATTAGACCAGTCATGTGTTTTAGACAGGCAAAGTAACACAATTTCACAGAGTTAAACAAATGTAACATAAAAGAATGCGACACATCTTTGCATTGTTAAACGTTTGTTTCACAGCAGAAACAATTGTGATATATCTTTAATATTCTACAACATAGAGCGGTCTGAAATATTTTCATGGATGCTTGCATTTGGCTCTAACAAGACCCTGGTAGCTGGGCATTTTTTTATTCCTATTAAAGGTGGTAAAACAAACAAAAACTGAGGCTCTCAGGGAGTGTTGAACTACTGAGTTCCTTCAGGTAGGATAAGCAAAGCTTCTTTATCAACAAATGTCTTCTTAAACCACCCCCTCTTGGCCCAAGCTTCCAGGAGGCCCAGAAGAGAGGTGTAAGGAAAAGGGTGGCTGACTGGGTGAAGGAATGGAGTACCCAATCAAAGTCTAGGAAGTATTGACAAGGTTATGGGTTCAAGTCCTGTTCCTGAACAATGGATACCGAGGACACTACCTCCAGAATCCCTGAGCCAACTTGGCAGCCCTTGTTCTGCCCTTTCTCTGAACTCCTTATTCCAAAGTGCTGGACTGGAGCAAGCCTTGGTGACCCCCCTCTCTCTGGCTTTGTTCTTTGCCCGCTCCCTAGGCAGGGGCCCAAGGCAATGAAACAGAGAGGCAGAACCCAGTCATGAGTCACAGCGGCCCAGATTGCCCTCTCTCTGTTTCCCATCCACAGGCAGGGTCACCAAGGGTCTTCCCTCCAGGAGACCCTTTTATTGTGGACATCCTTGAGGGATGTTTTACCCTTAGCCTCACTTCATCAGTCCTTCCTTGAGGATAAACAAGTCCCCTCCCCATTAAGAATACATGAGAGTCAGCATGCATTTAAGTGTCCCAGTGGAGGGCCCCAGAAGAAAGTTCCAGGTGGCCGTACGGTCCCAACATGGCACAGGACTTGGCGCTCTTTGGAGCTGGTGACTTGGATGGCCCCTTGTGCTGGGCCCAGAGCTCTAACAGCATGCAAAGCCTGACAGCTGGCCAAAGCCAGGGAGGCATTGTGGCCACTGGCAGGGACCCATGCAGTCTGTCTCAAGGGGAGGCAGCTGCTGCGGCCCCCCACATTCAGAACATGCTTGGGGGAACGAGTTGCACTAGCCCTAACAACGCTCTTGTCTTTGCCCAAAGGGTGCATGTGTGTGCGTGTGTGTGCGTGTGTGTGTGTGTGTGTGTGTGTGTGTGTGTGTCTGTGATTCTAGCTATAGAGGTGTGTAGCTCAGGCTTCCTTTTCATTACATAGAAACCTATGCTCTCCTGCCCATCCTGGCTTTGGGCTCAGAGACTGGAACCTGTGAGATGGCAGATATGGGGTGACGTGGGTGATGTAGTTCTGAGCACTAAGGCTGCATCTCTAAGCCTCCTGTGGCTTGAAATCTTCTGTTTTCTCTCGAGACATTTTCCTCTCACAAGCAGCCAGCTAAGTGTCCAGAGGCTGTGCTGCAATGTTTAACCTGACCCGAGCTGAGACCTAGGATAGCGCGATGGAGTTGTCGTTCTAAAGCATTAAGAAGGGAAAACTCCTTAGAGAAGTTGAAATGATTCTATAGACACTGCACCTCACACTATCTACCAGTAGCCGTGAATAGCAAGGCCCCCTGTGGCCTCCAGACGCAGCCTGCCTGGAA